TTTATTTGATTGAAACAAGGGATAAACCCAAAACAGCTTATTAACTCGTTCATATAGAGAAGTGGATAGTTATTCAAAGTTTCAAATCCAGGAAAGTGTTTACCCTTTGAAGCCCCAGTCAGTTCGAGCTTTCTGAAGAAGCTCGGGCTTCGCACATGCAGGCACCCCATTAACCGCATTGTAAGAACACATCAAACAGCTAGCCTTTCCTTGTTGAACACAGCTTCGGAATGGTGGTTGATATGTATCCACAAGGTCTTGCTCTGTTACCTACTAAAATGAGGACATTCAATCAACAGCGGAAGCAAGATCGAATGTACACACTTTCACAAACAGAAATTAAACAAAGAGACAAAGATTTACGTAGTTCGGAGGGAAAAAATTCTCCTACGTCTACATGTAGCAACCAATCTTTATAATCAAAGTGTTTACAAGTGAACATGTATCGAAGCTTACTCTAGCAAAGCTCAAATCAGCTGTGCTTTGTCTTTAACCTCACAATAAGAATCAAGATGATTATGTATAAGCAGTTGAGATCATAGTGGGTTGTTTCAAATCTTGATCAGGAACCAAATTACTCGAATGAACAAAGCTAAAATTGGTTGATGAACTGCGAGAAAGAAAGTAAATCTTACCACAGAATTGAAGGTATACCTAGTGAAATTCTTCCATTTCTCCAAGTCGTAAGCAGTAAGATGCTTGCAGCAAGCGGAGACCATTAAGCTTTCCATCCCATCATCTTCCTCCATTGGACCAATTTCACGTTCTCTCCTCCAATTCCCGCTCTGAAGGCCTCTCACAAACTCAATCGAATAAGCCGAGGCGACCATAGGGTCTTCACCGGGAGTCTCCTGGCCTCTTCCCCATCTGGGATCCCTAAAAATGTTGATGTTAGGGGCCCAAATGGTTAACCCACATTGCCCAACATTGAACATTGCTCTAGCCTCGACTCCGATCGCCGACCCAATTAAGTACCATAGAGTCCTGTTAAATGAAGCGGCAGTGACGAGGACTTGTGGAAAGGTCGTGGCCGAACTTATGGGGCCGACGAAGGACACACCGGGACCGTTGGTGGCTACGCCGTGGAGCCCCTCGGACCACCACTCGTATGAAGGAATGCCGAGCCGAGGAATGGCTGAGGCGTTATTTGAGAGCTGTTGGATCTTTTCTTCGAGAGTAAGCAAGGAGACTATGGACTGAGCTCTGACTGTGACGGAGAGGGACTTGTTGCAGAAGGGATAAGGACTATTAAGAGACGGATTACATGGAAACTGGAGCTCTGAGGATGATATGGAGTTGATGTTGCAGAACTGGAACAAGATGAAGAAGAAGAAGATCGATTTCCGCGAATTTGACATATCTTAGCATGGGATCTTAAGAATTTTGAGCTCCAAGAGAATGAGACAGCCAGTGGAGCTTAATGAGCAGTCATGGCCGCCATTGATTCATTCAATCACAAGAACAGTAATTTTCCCTTTTTCTTGAAATGGGTCCATTACAGATGAAATATCTCATTTGGTATATTCATGAAATGTAGAGATGGAGGATTGCGTTGAACCATTTGAATTGCCGCGGGCGATGGAACAATCGACTTGATAATTATATCCTAATATAAAAATTTGATGATCCAGATTTCCCAATGCGGTGATTTTGAATCTCAAAAAGGCTTAAAATCTTTGATTTGCATCGAAGTATTGATCAGATCGAAAATAAATAATAAGTAGAAGAAAACATTGGATTAACAATATGATCAAAGCCGGAAAGAGAATCTGGTAAGGATATGGGCCAATAGGGAACACATTGGGCCAATATATATTGTTACTGAAATGGGCCAAATATTGTGTGAAAACAGGCCAAGATTGGGCCACAATATATTGTTATTAAAAATGGGCCAAAGACTGTGTGAAAACGGGCCGATATTGGGCCACAATATATTGTTAATGAAAATGGGCAAACTATTGTGTTGAAAACGGGCCACGATTGGGCCACAATATATGTTACTGACAATGGGCCGAAGATTGTGTTGAAAACGGGCGACGTTGGGCCACAATATATGTTACTGAAAATGGGCCAAAAATTGTGTTGAAAACGGGCCACGATTGGGCCACAATATGTTACCGTAAATGGGCCAAAGATTGTGTTGAAAACGGGCCACCATTGGTCCACAATATATGTTACTGAAAATGGGCCAAATATTGTGTTGAAAACGGGCCACGATTGGGCCAGCAGTTAGTAAATCAAATCTAACTAACAGGCCCAAGCAGTACACAACTTAAAACCGTGTGGCGTATCGGATATTAAAATGACGTGGATAAATACCCATAAATGAGAAGACTTTATAGTTCATTTTTCTTTCCTTATTTTCATTTGCAGCAGATGTGGAAGAATTAATTTTAAGATTCAAACAATAACGTTAATTTTACATTATTCTTTTAATAAAAATATAACCATTGACAACTTTTCTTTCCTTCAATTACAAAGTTGGTAGGGCAAAGTTGACAACTAGTCATATCACCAGACCAAGGTTATATGCCGTGAGCCATTGTTATTTCTCTTTTGCTTGGTTAGATAATGTCTCTTTCAATCTCTGCCTCGTTTTCTAAAACTTTCTCTTGAACCGAGGCCAGAGGTTCGAGCGTACGTCGCTTGGCCGTAGGCGACGCAAGAACGAATTGGCTTAGCTCACTTGTCGTTGGAAAGTGAGTGCCGCACAACCGCAAGTCCGCTGCCATCAAGAGTGCAATTGTGCTTAACTCTTACCTCCTTATAAACTCACGATCCTTCCTTTAACTAGCCAATGTGACGCTCCTTCCTAACGATCTTCGTAATAACATTAGGGAAGGAATAGTAAGACATCATTTTGAAATGTCATAAATCCATGTCGCTCTCGAAGGCATAGATGCAGAAGAAAACAGTCAAACAAAATGCCAAGATTGAAATCATAATAAAATACAAAACCAGCTGTAAAATTAAATCATTGAACTTGGTGTTGTTTTGTTCAAACAAGGCATACAACTTGTTCGTATCTCAATCTTCAACTACACAATTATTTAATGCCATCTTTTATTTTATTTTTCTCTGCTCCTTCCTTTTTTGTGATGGGTACCGTTCAAAATACCATAATTTTTAGAGATTTTCAACATTAATCATCTCAAGAACACAAACTTAATGATGAGATAGAAACCCAAACATGTTCATCTAAATTCAATCACACAATTGCAGGGATTCAAGTTTGTGGATCACAAGACTGTTGAACTGTGGATGAGCCAAACTTATGTCTGATCGAGAACTATCTGACATCTTTGTCTTCAAAACTGTTTGGCAGAGTTATTATGATGAAGGCTACGGAAAAGTTGAAGCTAAGCTACTATTGAACTGACATAAATAATTGGACACACACAACTTCATGTTTTTTTTTTTATGAGTATTCAAACATCCAAACGCCGTTTAAAAGATTCAAATTTGAGAGTCAATGAAATATGGGTTTGGGCAAAAGTTAAAAAAGAAAAGGAAATGAGCTTGTTTCTCTTATTGCTGTCATGTTTGATGTTCTTATTATAAACAAAACCCTAAAGATTCTATGCATGTGGTATAACAAAACCCTAAAACCCTAAATATTCTATGCATGTGGTATAACAAAACCCTAAAACCCTAAATATTCTATGCATTATGTTATAACAAAACCCTAAAACCCTAAATATTCTATGCATATGATATAACAAAACCCTAAAACCCTAAATAATCTATGCATTGCATCATTTTGTTTGGATATTGCAAATCTTTCCCCCCAACCAATCACTTTCTTGCCAAATTTGTTCTTTCAAAACACCCATCTTCAGATATGTTTTTTGTTTTTTTGTTTTCTTCTAGGTCGGGTCAAAGTCAAAGTCAAAGTCAAAGTCAAAGTTTCGATGCTAAGTTACAAAATATTTCTAAAAAAAGTTGCTTTAAAAGATTTGTCATTCATGCTTTTAGCATGTTAATAATTATTTTAAGTCAATATTTGAAATGAGAGATTTAAACATTTACTTCTTTGTTCGAGATTATAAATTAATTAGTTTAAAATATCGTTGAGCTATATTCTTTTAACTTAAAATAAAAGGTTTACTCGAAACATAGATTAAAAGAAATTTCAATCCAACAAACATTAATGCTTAAGCTGGTTACCGTTGCCACGTGATGCTGACATGGCATCCACGTAAGCATACTAACCATTTACCCTAAGAATAAATATTTTAAAACTTATTTAAAAAGTTGGTTAGAAAAATAAAGTGGATTTTATTTCTGGGGAAAAAATGGTGAAAAATAATAATAATAATAATAAAAAGATAATGGAAGAATGAAGTGGGGGTTGGTGATGGCAATTTCAGAGGGCATTATATTAATATTCAAAAAGCTAACGGCCTTTTCTTCTCAATAATGCTCCGCCCGACATAAAATACTTACCTTACCACCTCATCAACTTTACAATATATCAAAATTGCACCTCAAACTATAATATTTTAATGCATCTTTCTACGTAAAAAAAACCCCACATTTATATCCTACCATATAATATACAGTTCATACATTATTGTTTTCACTCGTTTCTTATTTTAAAAAAACGTGTGATACCCTTTGAGATAAATATATAATATCATAAACAATCGAGTTAGGTTAAACTTTTATAATAAATAACCTATTCTAATACGAATATAAATAGTCATGATAATCAAATTCGTGCCGGATTAGGGTCATCATAATTAAAATATATTATTAATTGTTTAAAAAATTGAGAAAAATTGGAAAAAAAAACAACAACCTGGGACAGGGATACTATTACAGGATGGTGTTTTTTTTTTCAGATTTGTGGGTCAAAGCTATCTTGAGTTGTTTATTTGAATAAAGAGAACAAAATTTGTCTGATTGATAAGTTGGGTGAAAGAGACATAAATTCACAGACGAGAGAGAAAATCTCAAAAAGCAGATTCCTTTTTTTTTTTTTTTTTTTTTTTTTTTTT